CATTTTTAGCAGCATGACAGTGTTTTTAAAATTGTGTCGTTTTTTTTTCTAGTAACCAGTTACTTTTTCCAACAAGTAGTGGTGTTTTTTTTTAATGCCACATTTTGTGTAGGCAGCTTTACTGTTGAGCGTCCATATTCTCTTAAATTATTATCTCTAGAGTAGAGTTAGAAAATCTGATTAATTCTAGTGAATCAGGTCATTCATTTCAGGCTGCTGTTCATTACTGTTTTTGAGCCCATTTTTTAAAGGTAGTATTAATTTATCTATTTAAATTTGGTATTGTAGTTAAGATTAATTCATTCAAAAACCCAGAAAAAATGGCTTCATTATAAATAATGTTTTAGCTTTAAAAATGTACTTTAGTAACTTGGATATTGGATAGGGGTAATAACTTATCCTTTAAAGTTTGATGCTGTCAACCTAATTAAGATTGTTTCTTCAATCAGAAGCCTAGAGATATATGGCTCTGATGAAATTATGAATGTTACCATTGACTAGTTTTATCATTTAAAGTAGCTTTTTAAATATGTAACTCTTTTTTTAGCTTTAATGTACTGCATAACATATATCCTGAACAGTGAATGACATTTGGGGTGTGTAAAATATTAGCACATTTCAATATCCTCTACTTATAATCCTCTTTCCACTCCTCCTTACATTAAGTGCAAATGGGCTTATGTATGTTTCATTTCTGCCTTTTCTTTGAAAACCTGACAGAAGTGTTCTGGACTAATGCATTGCGGTCGCTAGTCTAGTCTTCCTTCATGGGGCCATGCGTTTTAATAGGACACCTTGTATCAAAACATTTATTCAACAGCCATAATGACTTGTGTGAATTTGAGACTTCTCATAGGGTATCAGACACAGCACCATAAGCAGTTCACAGTCTCACCGAATGTTTAAATGTTGATTGATTTGATGTTTAGAGTGTCTTTTGTTGCTCCCCATGGGTAGCAATATCCTGTTTCATTCACAATACCCAGTGTGCTTCTCTCTCATAATCTCATCGATTATGTCTTCATCTATTCATCTTAAACACAAAGCACATTTGATAGGAGAGATACAGTCAGAAGACATTTTACAGACTCATACGAATGAGATGAAGCACTTTGAGCTGTATCAATGTCCTATAGCAAAGTCCTAAAGCTGTATAACCTAGTTTTGAGATTTGAACTGAGGCATTATCTTTGCAAATGGTAGTTAATATGATTTGTTGAAAAAAGGTTTCACTTTCAAATTTTGGAAAGCCCTTAAGAAAGTTTAAAGATGATAGAGACTTTAATTAACTGATTCAGCTTATATAACTCATTGGCAAACAACTAAGAAGGTTTCACTTTCAAATTTTGGAAAGCCCTTAAGAAAGTTTAAAGAGTGTCCTGCTTCTACTTTGCACTATATATTTTTTCTTTTGGCCTCTGGCAACAAGAGAATCTACTAGCTTTTCATTTCCCCTTTCCCTCTCTTCGCTGTTCTCTTGCCTTTGCAGCTTCTTAGCTCTTACATTTGTGTGTGTGTGTTTTAGAGAGTCTACATCATCCTCTGTGAGTGGTGAACACTAGATCTAAATTTAGCTTGAAGAACAGGGTCATTAATACTCTCTGGCCAATCTCCAGGAATCAATCACACCCACCTACAGGGAGAGAGGCTTTTAATGATGCACATAGCACTTTCTTTCATTTGTGAGTCCTCCTGTATACTTCTTACTGTTTGAATGTTTCTTTATGAGATGATCATATAAACAAAAATAGCTATCTGTCTGTCGTATGTGTCTGTCTCTCTGTATGTTGGTTTATGTCTATCAGTCCGTCTGTCTGTAGTTCTGTCTTTCGTCTGTCTGTCCATTTATGTCTGTCCATCTGTTGTCATTCTATCTATCGTTCTGTCTGTTTGTCGTTTGTTGATTTGTTTCGTCTGTTTGTCTTTTGCATAGACACAAAGAATGTGTGATTTACAGTTGTGTTGGTCTCTTGGTCAGTTTATTTAAACCACATTGTGTGCATCTTTTTCAGCAGTGTTGAAATGTTATGTGAAAATCATGGCTGTAAAGCGCAAGCTATCATGCTTGATTCAACACATAAAAGCTGCTAAGATATAACATGAAAGGAAGCCAAGATTGTGGAGAAAAAATGTCCCCGTATGCAAATTTCTCAAGACAGGGCTGCTTTCGCTGGAAAAACAGCGAAACATTAGTAAGTGCATTAAAATGAATCATCCCCGGTTGCATGTTAGCTGATTACAGTGGTGCTGAGTATAGGATGTTTTAATAGAGCACGCTGCGTGTCAAGTGTATCTGCAGAGTGGCTTGTTTGAGAGCGTATGTGCACTGAAGCATGCTCAAGGTGAAGGCAGTTTGTTGCAGCGACAGCCACAGTGCTTGCAACTTTAATTGTTTGGGTCCCCAATAAATCAAACGTGCCTCTGGAGTTTATTTATTTAGAAAGCGTATTAGACAAATTAATCATTCCCAGGAGCATGGGAGTGAAAGAGAGAGTATGCTTGTGTTTCTTACACAGTTGGTAGCATCACTGGAGCTCACTGTAACATGTTAGCTCTCTATGTGCATATTCATGTGTTTGTGTGTTGTCTTGTCTCTCTTAGGGTAAAGCATGACTGGACACTCCTGACGTCAGAACAGAATAAACGTCACTATTGACCCCGTAGGCGGCCTTCTTTTTCTTCCTGCTTTTTTTCTCTCTCCCTCCTTTAGCCTACTTTTGACTGACTTAATGTCTTTGATATAGCCACACTGACATTAGCTCTGTTCCAAAACCTAGTAAGCGGCCTTCTAAGATAGCATTCTTACAGAAATGAAAAATGAGGCTCATTTCACTATTGATTTTAATAGATTTTGATGTTAGCATGTTGGTAAGATAAATACAAAGAGATTAATTTTTAATGACCCTGAACTGTTTTTATCAATACTTTTTAGTATAGAGTGAAATATAAGTTTCTAATCAATGTTTATCTAACTTCATCTGCCCTTTTTGCTAAGTGTTATAAAAGATACCAATATGTCAAGCCTTTTGCATTTGGTCAAAGCGAGTTTTAGAAGTTGATATAATCTAGTCAGTGGAACTGCTTTTGTGTCTACGATGCCTTAAAATGAGGCAGACAGCTTAATAGGTTTTGGAACAGAGCCATAATTAATACATTAAATGCATGGTTACTGTCTAGTAATGGCAACATCTTAGGCTGCTCATTGCTGTTTGTGAAAAGATTTAATGGGTGATTTCTTTATAGCCATGAACAGCCCACTGGACTTTATTGCGTGTGGGCATAGAGTCAGCAGTGTTTTTCTCTTCCCAGCATTCCCTTTCACGCTTTCTCTACTGCTTTGCCCTCTTGTCAACATGTTTGTGATGTCAGGGAGTTTTGGGCTTTTTTTTTTTTTTATCTGTGCTGTCATTTATGCAGTGATGGTCTCTCTCATTAGTATTTTTGCTAGTATTTTGTATCTGTCTTTTTTCTTAGTTTGACCCATACCGATTGCCCCTGTCCTCACCATATCAGCCGACCACTGTGTGTGTTTCCTCTTTACATGATGAGGGTCCAAAGCGGGCGACTACAGGTGATCAGAGGATGTATGAGGATTCAAGGCGTGTCCTTATCGACATGCACAGTTTCCTCCAGTATCTTCCATCCCTGTCACTTCAAAGTGCCTGTGATGGATAGACGGGATGAGCCACTGAATGACTGTTCTGGCTTCCTCTAGGTGATGAATGAAGGCTGCTCAGTCTGCACAAAATGCAGCTAAAAAAAGTGTCATTCTAGATATATATTGATGATAAAATCTACGGTTTATATTTATAATTTAAATATGTGATATTAATAATTCACATTTCTCTCATAATACTCGCATACAAACATCAGACATGCATCTGTGTTCATAATCCTCCTGAGTGTGAGACTCCATTACACGTTTTTTTTATGCATGCTTGTGTATTGCTGTTTGCATCTTGTCTCTGTGCCAACAATTTGAGCTCTAGTGATCACTCTTTTAATCTGTTTTAATTGTTCTTCCCTCCCTCTTTCCACCACCCTGATTGCATATACGCATATTCACATCTTGCTCTCTCCTCCCTTCATTTCTCTTTCTCTCTCTCCATGCTGTGGAAATATGAGTGTGTGCAGTTCCCAGTAGAGGTTATCATCAAATTCTATCTCTATAGCACAAACACAGACACACACATTCACACACCACGTGCCAGGCGTCCAATGAGCCTGCTGAGAAATTGCATACTCTTCCCCAACTTTTTGCCATTTAATTAAAATAACTTTTTTGAAGTCATTAATATTAACTCGATCAGTCTTTTATGAAAGTAGAGGATGCTTGAATATACATGATGCATGCTTTTATGTGATTCAGGTTTTTATTATTAATGATTTATGATGTTAGTGGTTCCTTTTTAACAAGTAACAGTAATTGACCACTCCATAAGTGTTTTATTCCCTAAACTATGGTTTAGAATTCACAATGAAATGATAAAAACATGATAACATACTTATATAATTAGGCTGTATATTGTTGTTGTTCTTACTATTATATTCCTTATTTATATAAATATGTAATATCATACTTTTATCAATATATATTCCATATTTAGCCACAAGTGAGAATATGGTATTAATATTAGTACACTTGATTTGGGCTCTAGTAAATCAGGACCTTTTACTTTTTGAGTCTTTTCAGACTCTTCAGACAGGGAGAGCCTGTCTGTGACATTGGAAAATGTTGTCAAAACAACAATAATGTTTATAAAGTAAGCTGTTGTGTTTTATTACCGGCTTTCATAGAGCAGATTTGACAGTGACTGACAGACTTCATTGCTAGCAGCCATGCCAGAGAGATTGGCAGAGGTAATTAACTTGTATGTCCACAGAGGGTGAACAATGACTGACATGCATTTACTGGAACACTGCCTGAAAATTATGATAAAATGCTGAAACAATAAGTGGCATGTTCAGATTTTGACCCAAAAGTGCCCTGATCTTGTTAGCCTTGATTTTCCCGATTCTCTCCTTGACTCAGAACCCTTTCAGATTCGGCCGACCCGGTGTGGAGTGTTACTGTCAGCACGAGAGCGGAGCAGCCGTCATCCAGCTACAGTTTCTCATAAATGAAGTGAGTGTTTTATGTTTTTTTCCCCTCTTTCTGGGTCCTGCTCAAACTTATGCTAAGAGCCTATTCCCATGGAGCTCCAAGAGGCAGTTTAAATAATCCAGGATGAAGCCTCAAGAGGCTTAGATGATCCCTTAACCCAGAGCCTTTGCTGCCACAAACCCTCTTGTCCTCCAGAGTGGGCCTGGAGGGATCCTACAGAGGAAGCTGATATTACCATTTCCTCCCCAGAGTGTTGCCCACAGTCAAGACCACAGGGATCTCTTACACTAAGCCACCTTGTAGATTGTGCTCCTTGAAGTCAAAACGATTAGTTCACCCTACGTTCACGGGAATATTTGGCTATTTATAAAGACTTTTCTTCTTGAATTAATTTTAAGTGCATCTTGATTTGTTTTGAATGTTGATCTTTGGTTGGTTGAAGATAGAACATTTGAGTGCTTTTCTCTTTGCGTATATTTCATTTTAATCAACATATTTCTATTGTGCAATATAAAAAAGATATTAGATGTATAGCAAATTAGCTCAAAAGGGAAATATTTATAAGTAACTATAACTGGTTATAATTAATAATAAATATTTAGATTAGATCTTAGAATTAACTGTAGCAGAATCAGTATTACAATTATTTGATCTGTCCATCCACCGAGCAGACAATATAATCATTTATCAATTCAAGGAAAGATTATTTTCCTGGCCAAGGAACAGTAGCTTTCCTACTTTTTGCAGTACTAGCAGTAATTTAGCATGTAGCAAGGGATCAACATTCAGTGACTCCGAATTGTGAGCAGCACACAGAGGCAATCAATTGTGAATATAAGGGATATAATAAATGAAACTATAGCTAATGTATAACTAAACTAAGCAAAACACATATATACAGAATGAAGGAAAGTAAGGAAAGAGAGAGAGGAACAAAAGATTGGCAGTATTTCACATCAATTAACCACAACCTAATGAGAATCATCAAAGAATCAAAAATCACCTTAAAAAGGGGCTTAAAAATCAAGAGGAGAGTTTTGAGGAGTCTTGGAGAGTGTCCGTCTCAAGAAAAAGGGTTTCTGAGCAAAGATTGTTCTGAGTTAATGACTTTTGATAGTTCCTATCCACACCCATCTTTTGGGTGGAATAGCCAATACCAGGCGTGTATTTTTGAGTGGGAGAAGTTTTCTTTGTCTCCCTTTATGGCCCATTTGCATGTTTATGGCCGGTCTGGAGAGCATATACCATATACATTTGTAACTGATTAATTATAGTCTAAATAAAGAAAAAGTCTTTATGTGTGTGTGTTATGTGTATGGTGAGCATGGGGGTCGTTTGCTGGTCAGCCAGGCCGTTGGTGCCTGGCACGGGGGGTCATTTACATCTCTTTGGAATGTGTTTGAAGTGTGTGTGTGTGTGACCCTGGATCACAAAACCAGTCTTAAGTCGGGTATATTTGTAGCAATAGACAAAAATACATTGTATGGGTCAAAATTATTGATTTTTCTTTTATGCCAAAAATCATTAGGATATTAAGTAAAGATCATGTTCCATAAAGATATTTGTAAATTTCCTACAGTAAATGTATTAAAACTTAATTTTTCAATAGTGATATGCATTGCTAAGAACTTAATTTGATCAACTTTAAAGGCGATTTTCTCAATATTTTTATTTTTTTGCACCCTCAGATTCCAGATTTTCATATAGTTGTATCTCAGCCATATATTGTCCTATACTAACAAACCATACATCAATGGAAAGCTTATGTATTCAGCTTTCAGATGATGTATAAATCTCAATTTTGAAAAATTGACCCTTATGACTGGTTTTGTGGTCCAGGGTCACATATAATAAACATCTTGAAATTAGTTGGTCATTTTGAACGGACTTCTCAGCAGTCATCAGAAAGTTATTTCTGACATGAACATGGTATTTTTTGTACATCTTTTTTAAGACCACTTGGATGGCAGATGCTTTTATCCAAAGTGACTTGAAAGTGCATTCAAAATGTGTTTTTTTCTGTATTTGCATTCCCTGGGAATCAAACCATGACCTCTGCGTTAGTAGTACCATGATCTATTAGTAGCATCATGTGAAATAATAATAGAACTACATTCAAGATGATTGCTTGACATTAGACCTTAAAGGGGTCATATGATGCGATTTCAATTTTTCCTTTCTCTTTGAAGTGTTACAAGCTCTTGGTGCATAAAGAAGCTGTTTGGAAAATTCCAAAATGTAATCATGTTAAAAGTTAAAACAGGCATATAAAACATATAAAATTACCATTAGTTTGTTTTATTTATTTTAGCTATTTGATATAAATAGTGAATTAAATCATTTACTCACTTGCTTTCTTATTAATTTTCTTATTAATATTATTGGTCTTATTAATTTCTGATAAAATTGATGTAACTGTAAATGTTCTTATATTTAAAAAAGTTTTTTTCTTTATTTGGAATGATTTTGTAAATAATATGTACAGATATATTTAGACTAAGAATAAGAACGTAAGAATGTTTTTCAAATTCAGTGATTAAAGGGTTAGTTCACCCAAAAATGAAAATTAGCTTGTGTTTTACTTACCCTCGAAGCATCCTAGGTGTATATGACTTTCTTCTTTCAGACGAATCCAGTCGGAGTTATATAAAAAATTGTCCTGGCTATTCCAAGCGCTATCATTGCAGTCAGCGGGTGTTGCAGTTGAACAGTCCACAAGTCGTGTCAAATAAAGCTTGCGCATTCATAATAAAACTTGCCGCAGACGGCTCCGGGGGATGAATAAAGCCCCCCTGTAGCAAATCCATGAGTTTTTGTAAGAAAAATATTCATATTTCAAACGTAATAAACACTTTTCTCTCACTTCCGCTGACTGTCATACACTGAAGCAGTTCCTGCGGATGATGAAAGACGTGCGGCGTTGCGTGATTAGTGACGAATGCGGAAAGAGAACAAAACAAAATGCCGGTCACGAATTAGAAGTACAAACCGAAGATTTGCAAAGAAAAATGTTGGAGGATTTCGATATAAACCAAGAGGAGACTGGTTTTCCT